CTGCAAGAGTAACCAGACCTATAACACTGAGATTGTCTGCCACACAAACTGTGTCCTGTGTAGCCTGGAAAGTTTAAGGCCATAGTTTATTACGACTTAAGTTGTAATGAACTTAAGTTGTAATGAACTTTATTAGCACTTCAAAAGAGCAGTGAGCGAGATCAGTGTATTTGAAAATACAGTTGTGGTGTTTGTGCAGCAGCCTCTCTTGTGTTCTTTTTGGCTAAAGGCAGAGCTCAGCTCCCCCACACAGTACTCTTTCTGTTGAATGCATTAGATTAAAATATACACCTCAACCAACAGTCAGTACTTTTAATTGATAAAAGACATGTATACATAAATAAATACATAATGGTAATAATAAATACATAAATACTAAGAAAATATTAATTAGATAAACACGCAGGAGATGTTAAAAACAGTACATTTCAAATTGTAGGTAAATCTCTAAGTGGATGTTTTGGTGTTACTGACACTGTGTAACTGATTTAAGTTGGTTTTCATCAAAATAATGACACTTGTCTCAATGTTTTGGTATATAGTCTCCTGTAACATCTAAAAGAAGGTAGAAGTTGCAACAGATTGTGTCCACATTGTGATGGGTCTGTAATGCTATTTCCGAACTCTGAAGATATAGGTCCTGTGATTCTCTCTGCAGTCCTGACTGTTCTTTGTAATCTTGTTTAGTTCACTTTTGTGGCTGATTCACACCGGTGGTGTCAGAACAGAGAACACATTATTGCAGTGTAGAACTGGATGACCAGCCCTTGTCCCATTAGTAATAGAAGATGTTGTGTTTTATCTTTAGTGTTTTAGTGTGTTTTCACACAGTCACAACACCCAGAGTGCTTCATTTACAGCAACTATGTTCATAGTTAATCTGCCAGTTGTGTTCTTTAAGTAAACTAGTAAGTAATTGAGAGGGAAGTTCTATTGACTGTCTCTTCTCACTGATAGTTTTATTTTTTTTTTAAATTTATTTCCCACACTCTGTTCAAAAACGTAAAACATCATGTTACAACAATGTTTGACAAATTATTTAGTTAAACATCAATTAATTCTTTCATAGTTTGTTTACAGTTAAATCGCTGCAATGCATTATGGGCATTTCTTGTACTTATACTTGAGGAATACCAACAAGTACAAAGTATAGTCCAAATGTACCTATAGCTTTTGATATACTTGTTGACATACTCCAAGTATCACATCTGGTCATAAGGGGAGTCATGTGATTACACACCAACTTGATGCTCTTCTTTTTGAATAACACTGTTACTGTCTACTTGATTCAGGGGCATCACAAACCACAAGAAGGAAGTGGACTGAAGCAGAAATAAAGGCTGTGGAGAAGACTCTAATGGAGTACATCAGCTCTGGAAAGGTGCCTGGGAAGGCAGAGTGTCTCAAATGTATTGAGACTTCACCATTAGCATTGAAAGAGAGACGTTGGGAGGGAGTTAAGTTTTACGTGAAAAACCGAATTGATGCTTTAAAGCGACAGTCAGTGAAAAGAAGGTAAGAAGCTAATGTCAAACAAATGGAACATAAACAGCTTCAGTTACTGTTAAAATTTTCTCATGTTTAGAGAAAAAAAAAGGATTGTTCATTTCAACCAGGCAATTGTCACAGTGCTGGGTCGGGGACCCAGTGTTCTATCTTTGTTATTATTGCGAGCTCAACGTGTGTTTTCTGTTTTACTTTGAAGTTCTGTGCCTCATGTGGATGTGTCTTGCTTTGCCCTCGTCTTTGTGATTTGTATCAGCTGTGTTCCTCGTGTGTTCTGACGCTCCTTGTTATTTCCCTGTGTATTTATGTCGGCGTCTCCCTCAGTTCCGTGTCGCATCGTACCCTCACCCTGCTGTTTCCGCCCATGTATCCTGCCTGCTATTTCCTCAGTTTGTATTCTCAGTTTAAGTTAGTTTGTGTTCAGCAATAAAGCTGCTTTTTCGGCTCACTTTTCGTGTCTGTCTTAATGTCTTCTCACATTCACTGTTTTTAAATGGGTAGACCACATGAAGCAGAATGTTAAATGTATGAGCACATTATACATATTAAATCTTCAGTATTTGGTATCCCCTTGTGGTATTTTGATATTTCAGTATTTATTTTTATACTATATATCTAAAAGATAAGTTGGGATGCTAAGCTCCTTAGTTGAAACATTTTTTTTATTGAAAGCAGAGGCCAGTGCACAAATTTTCCAGTGAACAAATACAAGGGGCAATGACAGAATAACAAAAACAATATAAAACTCAAATGAAAATATGTAGCAGAAACCATTCTCTGAAATCCAACCAGCACTTGAAAGCTTTTTCATTATACCAGCTTTGATTACTCTGGGTTGTAAATTCCTATAAATAGACCCTCTAACTGTAAACGTGCAACAGTGTCACCTGGTGGTGGTTTGTGAAAAGACATAAAAGCTGTGTCCCCACCAGGTAGAAAAACCTGACAAAAATTGGATTTTGTAAATTTAACAAATTCTGGTACCTAAATAGATGTTTGGGCCCTAAAAAAATTAAGAGTTCCAATTATGCCTTTATAATACCTCTATTACATTTAGAAATGTTGTGTCCCCACGCGTAACCTCCTAGATGGAAGTCCCCACGTGGCTGGAAAAACGTGTATGTGTGTGTGTGTGTGTGTGTGTGTGTTTAGAGTATCTGCTCTCTGGCACCTGGTTCCATCTATAATTGATGGGTAGGGCCAGAGGACATGTCGGAGCTACTCCACACCGTCAGAGTGTGACAAGGCCACACAGAGTGACAGGGCAACACTCGGCTTCTTCACTCCATCTACATTCGACACACACCTCACACACTCCCGCACGTCTGGGGGTGCGCAGTCATTGTGGGAGATGGAGGGAAAAATGAAGGAAGAGAGAAGAAGCAGAAAAAGCTGGGGAGGAAATTTATTGTCTTTCATATCCAGGCTCCTAATATAACATGCATTATCATTGTGGTATTGTGTGTGTGTGTGTGTGTGTGTGTGTGTGTGTGTGTGTGTGTGTGTGTGTGTGTGTGTGTGTGTGTGTGAGAGAGAGAGAGAGAAAAGTGAAATGCAATAAAAAAAATAATGTAGCGTTGAAATTGCTTTCATGCCAGGTGCACACACAAACACACACAGAATGTATGTGAATGAGAATGTATTGAAACACAAGCATACATATCCACACACACACACACATATAGTTGGGCTCTTAATAGACACACACTGACACTCACAAAATCACAAGCATCAGAGTGATCCTGATGATGGGGCTGTTTTCCAGCATCTCCCAGCTGTTATGTGTGTCATAATGACAACATGGCACCTGTTAGACATTAAGAAGCACATCACTCTGTCTGCCCTGTCTCCTGTTTACCTTCTCACAACGATTTGGATGATGCTTCATGATGGAGCCAAAGGACAGCGTCATTTAAGCTCACTGTTACTGACTGTTGCCTCACATCCTAAACGTGCTTGAGAGCAGTTAAGCACTTAGAGCCCTGGTCTTTAAAGCATAAGAAACATTATATAGAGAGTGAGTCTTCTATTTTTAAGGGATTTGGAGCACTGCTGGCATCCTCTCATCCATGTAAGGTGAAATCCCACAGCTTGCAGTCTTCCTACAGAAATATCTGCTGCATAGTAGACATTAACCAACAGAATTACCCCAGTCATAGTGTTATTGTTCTTTTTATTATTATTGATCACTATAGTAATCCTCCTTTTCTCACTTTCCTTGTATTTCCAAATGTTTTATTTCTCCATTCTGTGCCTCTTTTCTTCATCTTACTATTTCTCATCAGCTTGTTATTTGCCCATCTTTCAGTTTAGTTACTTCTGCCACACAGCAGCTATTTTAGCTGAAAAATCAACAAAGAAATGTTAAGACTGCAGTTCCTCTGATGGCCAGCCACATTGGTCCACTGTCTAGGACTGATTGCAAATAGTTGCAGCAACTAAATGTAACCAGTTATTTGAAAGTGGTCCACGCTCAACCACTTTTGGTCACAAGGTTGTCTGGTGAGAGACAGCCTGAGTTTGACTTGCATGGACTGCAGTCATCCTCAAATAGATCTCCCAAGGTTTGCAATTAATTGTACTCTAATTTAGTTCAATTGAATTTGTGGCAGGCAATTTACAATAAATTGTGCTAAATTTAGCTCAAAAAAAGCATCCCTTATTTTTTGCCTAATATGTTTGTCAATCCTTGTTGTGGCAACTTATTTGGACTTAGAGGGAATGTTACCAGTGCAAGAGTGTAATTGGCATGGCTGGATGGCTCAGTGGTCTGTGCCAAAACCTTAGCTCTGCCTTGTTGCCCTTTACTCAGTCCTCACTCCGAGTGTTTAGAGCTGAAACCCACATATTCCTGCTCCACAGTAAAACTGGGATTTTACTGACACAAATCTGAACTGAACTTAGTGGAACATCGGAGGCGTTGGGAGAATCCTGATACAAAACGCACACAAGGATGCATGTGGTTTTACTTTTTACAGAGTGTGTTCCAGTGTTTCATGCTTTCATTTCTACACAGAGATTTTTCTCAGCAGTGCAAATGCAAAAAAACAGCATGTTACTGTCACATGTCTGTCAAAATGGTGATAGAAATGAGACAGTATTACTGTGTTATATTAACATCTGAATGTTAGGGTTAATTAAATTAGCATACCAATATGCTTTCCTCTTCAGACACAATGCAATCAAAGGCAGCAATAGAAATGGTTTAACATGCCAGAATTAAATGAAACAACACAAAAGTCAGTTTACCAAACTTTTTATATTGAAATTTGTGAAAATGATTTTGCTCTCTAACGTTTTTACAGCAAGTTACAAACGTCTGTTAATGATTCAGTGAATGAAGATCAGGTTAGGGTTGATCTTTTCAGGAGTGTTCACATCACAGCAGATGCACCATCAGCTACAAAGCCAACAAATCCTATACGTAACATTTCTTCAGAGATGCCCCTTTAACAAGCTACTCTAACTGGATGTATTGAAGGAGACCATGCAGAGGGTGTGTGTTCAGAGGAGGATGCTGAGACAGAGTGAGACGGATGCAAATTATCTGCTGTGGTGACCCCTAAAGGTAGCAGCACAAAGAAGAAGACACAAACTTTTATGTACGTAGAAGCTGATGACAGGATGGTGGTTTTAATAAACCGCAGGTAATGTGACTGGTAGGGCAAAAGAGCCAAACCACAGTAAGAAAAATTACATGTACTGTAAACATGTTGGAATTAAATCATTCATGTTTGGTCTGGGTTGGCATTCACAATATGAAAACACTAAAATAACCGATTAGTTACATTGCACACTCGCATATCTCAAATCCATGACAAGGGATTAGAAGTAACGGCAGACCTGTTTTTTGCTAAACCACTGTCAGCGGCTTCTGGTATTTTCTTTGCTGTGAAAGAGTGTGGTATTTTATGCCTATGACTAATAAATCATTCACTGCACTGGCTTTGATTTCCTACAACTGCCAATTAGACCAGAACTGACCAAATTCAGTCTCACAGCCGAGCATTTGATGAAAAAAGAAGTCGCCAAGAACAATCAAAGTTTCATCATAGCATAGGCAGGTAATGACTTCCAAGTGTCTTAGACTGCAGAAAGACATACGCAAAATTCATCAGTGTGACACAGGATTGCCAGCTAGCAGAACTAATGTGCTTTGAGCAGATGAATTATAGATACAGATGTTTGACAATGAATGTGTTTGGTGCAGACAAAAACCAGCGTGTCAGTAGGAGAATTTTGCATAAAATGTGAGGTAAGGTGGTGGGAATGTTATGGTTTGGGGTTGTTTTGCTGCATTACTGGGCAGCTTACAGCTATCCGGTTGTTCAGTGATGACACGACGAATCCTACTTCCGGGCCTAAAGTAGTCTGCGTTTAATATGGCTTTTGTGTTGTTAACATGTTTAATGTTATGTATTTTCTTCTATTT